GGAATACTGTTTACTGAAATTCCAGGGAATCATTTGGGTATTTCATTTTTTAAAATGTCATTAATTTCTTTTAAATGGTACAATGTCATTATTTCTAATAGATAGTAAGGTTTCATTGTGTTTTCTCAATCCATTTGTCCATTGAGAGGCATCTGGGCTGATTCCCTACCTTGGCTATGATGAATAGTGTTGTAGTAAACAAGGTTGTGCTGGTGGCTTTACTATATCCTGCTTTGTAATCTTTTGGGCAAATGCCCAGGAGTGGAATTGCTGGATCATAGGGTAGTTTTATGTTTAATTTTGTGAAGAACCTCCACACTATTTTACAAACTCATAAGTAAATATGGTGGCTGGTATGCAAGTATTTACAAATGTATTAACTGAAACAGAGTAGATTCTAGTGAGATCTCCAACAGTGCAAATCCTTAGAAAGACAAAATCAAAGGGCTACTGGAAAGGGGTGTTTTCACTTAACTAGATTAGACTAGAATGAAGAGGAGAAGAGAGGGAAATGAAGGCAAGAATCCAATGTATATCCTACAAAATTAAGAAAAGAAAGGGTTAGGTAGGGGGTGGATGAATGAGAATCTTGGAAGGGGTGACATTGATCAAGATATATTATAAATTGCCTTGTTAATTGGCAACTCCTTTGTATGACTGCTTGAAGATAATAGAAAACTAAAAAAGTTTGATTCAAGGAGAGAGAAAGCAAGTTATGAAAGCTGCTTATTGCCTATTGATTTCAAAAGCAGTTACCCCTCAAGATCATGCCCGATGTTGGACTCAGTCTCTGCAGTAACTGCTGACCATGCTCTCCCTTTCTAGGCTTCAGCAGCTGTGTGTTTTCCTCTTTGAGGTTGACTTCTTCTGGTCTATTTGTTCATGATGTTCTTTTTTATTTTTGTCAGTTGTGGGCCTTGAACTTCGACGTGGGCACTGTCCCTAAGCTTTTTTTCTCAAGGCTAGCACTCTACCATTTGAACCACAGCATCACTTCTGGTTTTCTGGGGGTTAATTGGAGAGTCTCATGGACTTTCTTGTCCCAGCTGGCTTTAAACCTCGATCCTCAGATCTCAGCCTCCTAAACAGCTAGGATCGCAGGTGTGAGTCACCTGTGCCTGGCTGACATTCTTCTTCTTTTTTTTTAAAAAATAGAAAAAATAGAGCATTAGATCTTTTACTGAGTTTGGATGTATTAATCATGCAGAGAGGAGAGAGAGTCAGAACGAGAGAAAGAGTCAGTCACTTGGCTTTTTAATGCTGTATGCACTTTGCTATTTTTTCCCCCTCATTCCCAAATGAACATGTTTCTAAGTAGTTTGTCCCAGTCAGCTCCTAATTCTGCTAGCTGCACAGATGGGTAAAGATGGCAGCTAAGGATTCCTTCTTCAGCCAAGGCACTCTGTGTGCCGGGCTCATTGTTTCCAGATTTACTATGTCGAGCAAGGTCACCTCTGTGTTCATCCCATGTGAAATAAATTGAAAGCTCAGGAATTTGGCATCTGGAGAAACACTGGTCCAGTGTGGGGATAGAATGGACTATACTTCCAACTCTGAGCTTGATTAAACATAAATTAAATCTTGAATCTGAATGAATGTGCAAGCTTGGAAAATTTCTAACCCACCCCTCCTTTTCATTTACTAAATTAATATTACAACAGTTCCTAATTGAGGGGGTGGGTGAGGTTGGGAGACATGAGGGAGAAGAATGAAAGCAATATTGATCAAGATGCACTGCATTCACAAACTGACACTACTTACAGATAATAAGGAATTAAAAATGACAGTTCCTTCCTCACACAATTTAGCGTTAATGTCCTTGTACATGGAACTCCTTTAGCTCAACTCTCAGTACAAGAATAAATATAAACATCACCTGCACTTTCCAGGAACAATGTTTAATATGATGGATAGAACATAGCTTTATTTGGAAGGGCCATGTTTATAGAGGTATGATAGCATCATGTTTTATGCCTTGTGACCCACATGATTTAATTTTTCTTGTCTCACAGTAGTCAGGCTAAGGATGTCTTGTGACACATTGGTACCTTACAGTGCGAATGTTTGGCGAGAGCTGTGGTTGGAAACCTAAGAGAGGCATAACCTTCTGGGCTTCAGCCCATGCTGAAAGCAGCAGAATAATTGCAGAGTCTCAGCATTCGGAAGGAGTCCCAGGACAGGGAGTGCAGCATTGCGATGGTGTCAGAGCACTCTGCCACAAGCACATCTTCCAGGATGATTGTAGGGGGAGCGGGGACAGGAGCTCACAGCATATCCATCATACCATGATGCGTTTCTAGAGAATCAGAGTGGGAATTCTCGAGGTATAGACTCCAGCCATACCACTTTAGTCATGATAAATGATGACACTGACTTATCAAGATAAATGTCCTTGTGGTATTTGGGTTCAGTGGGAGGGAATTTAATCCTAAGGGTCCCCCCCACCCCCGCATCTTTTCCCTTAGGTAAATCATTCGAACAGTATGCAAATGCTCACATTTTGAAACTCACAGAGAAACTATTTGCATTTCTCTATCAGTGTCACCAGAAACCATTAAAAAATGGTTGTGACCCAGGATGCTAAGAGTCCCTGCCAAGACCCTTGGGGCAGGAAAGCAGCAGAGCCTGGTGACATGAATGTTCCTTTGAGAAGCATAAGATTTGGACTGTAGTTCCAGATATTGAATAATACAGATACTGTACATCTAATGACTTAGACATCGTGTATCTAATGACTTTGATATCATATAGCTAATAACTTTGATATTATTTCTTGTGACTTAGATATTGCACCTCTAACAGCAGACATTATGTATCCAAAGACTTAGATGTTATATTTAATAACTTAGATATTATATTCTTCTTCTAGCTCTCCTTTCCTCTTTGGTCAGATATTGTATCAAAAAATTACCCACAGTTATGATAAGAGCCTTACAACCTGGGAGGGCGGGGAATAGCAAATGGTGAGTGGGAGATAATGAGGGATGGGGTAACAATGATTAAAAACAAATGTACTCACTCCCTTACTTATGTAACTATAACTCCTCCTACTTACTACCTTTTCAAAAATAAAAACATAAAAATGAAAACAGTGGGAAGAAGATAAAAGACAGAAAAATTACCCACAGTTATGCAAATGTTCGGATCTTTGAAATTTTATTATCATTATTATGTCAAGGTTTGAAATGTGGTCTTTTTTGTTTTTTGGTACTGGTCCTGGGGCTTGAACTCAGGGCTTAGGCACTGTCCTTGAACTTCTTTGGCTCAAGTCTAGTGCTCTACCACTTAAGCCACAGCTCTACTTCTGGCTTTTTCTGTGATTAATTGGAAATAAGAGTCTCACAAACTTTCCTGCAGGCTTCGAACTACAGTCCTTACATCTCAGCTTCCTGAGTAGCTAGGATTACTGGCACGAGTCACTGGTGCCTGGCAAAATGCAGACTTTGTAACCTAATGGAAGGGCAGTGTTATTGTTTCTGTATCTCTGAGGCCACTCTCTTCTTGGTTTTTTTAATAAGGAGAATCAACTGACTCTCCTAAGATTGGACTTTTTTGTATAGTAAGGTAAAATGGGAAACTTAAAAAGCAATCTTTGCTGGATGCTGGTAGATCATTCCTGTAATCCTGGCTACTCAGGAAGTTGAGAACTAAAGGATCATTGTTTGAAGCTAGCCTGGGTAGAAAAGTCTGTAAGACTCCACTTCCTACTAACTAATAAAAAGATGGGCTGAGGCTGGGAAGGTGGCTCAGTGGTAGAGCACTTGCCTTGCATACATGAGGCCCTGGGTTCGATTCCTCAGCACCACATAAGCAAAAAGAAAAAAAAAAGCTGGAAGTGGTGCTGTGGCTCAAGTGGTAGAACGCTAGCCTTGAGCTGAAGAGCTGAGGGACAGCGACCAGGCCCAGAGTTCAGGCCCCACAACCAGACCCCCCCCCCAAAAGAGATGGGCTGAAGCATGGCTCAAGTGGTAGAAGACCAGTTATGAGCAAGAAAACCAAGCAAGCGTGAAGCCTTGACCTCAAGACACAGAACACACACACACACACACACACACACACACACACACACACACACACACAAACACATAAGTGTGGTTCAAGAATAAAATGAGGAAATATAAAGATCAGAGTTCAAATCCTGATATCAACAGGAAAAAAAGCAACATAGTACTAGTACCTACAGCGATCAACTTTACCAGAAGTTTTAGCTAGTATTGTGTCAGCAGGTCTAATTTTTTTGTGTGTCAGATATGGGGTTTACACTCAGGGCTTGGGCACTGTCCCTAAGCTATTGTGCTCAAGATTAGCGCTCTACCGCTTTGAGCCTCAGTGCCACTTCCAGTTTTCTGGTGGTTAATTGGAAATAAGAGTACTACAGACTTCCCTGCCTGGGCTGGCTTTGAACCATGATCCTAAAATCTCAGCCTTCTGAGTAGCTAGGATTACAGGCATAAGCCACCAGCATGTGGTTCAGCTGGTTGGTCTAAATATAATCATCTTTTTTTCAAAACCACAGTTTTCATCAGCCTATTCCATACCTGTCAACTGGCTTTTCCCTTTTCTTCAAAACCACCTGTTCTCTGACAACCAAGACAGGAGACTGATGAGGTTCTCAAACTCAGTGTTTTCCTGCAAACTTATCTGAAAACTGACAGTAATACAGAAAAGAGTAGCTTAAATTTTACAGCTGTGTGTGAGTCACTAAACCATATGGCTTATGGTGGTATTCTGAACAGAATGAATACATCTTCAAATCGGCTGAGGAGGTGAATAGTTTCGGATGTGCATTTCCCACTAATTTCAATATTCACCAATAACCCACTCTGATAAATTGAAGGTTGCTGCCTTATACTGTGCATGCTATTCAATGTTTTGCAATCAGTATTGAAAATGTTTCCAACTTAAGCTTTTCTGACTTGCAGTATACACATGCTTGCTTTTCTGCATTTGACATATTTTTATTTTATCAATAATTCACCAACATTTTTTTTTCCTCCCAGTCTGACAGCAATGCAAGTTTCCTTCGTGCTGCCCGTGCGGGCAACCTGGACAAGGTTGTGGAATACCTGAAGGGTGGGATTGACATCAACACCTGCAACCAGGTAAGGGCAGGGCCTCGGGTCCAGACTCTATGATAAGAAAGCACCTGTTATCTAGGTAGAGGCTTAGTGTCCAAGGTGATGTTTCACCTGTATTGGATTTATTGACATATCAGTGACTTGGTTGGAGGCAACCCAGTTTTTGCTTTGTTACCACTTGTGAAGTGTCAGATGTTTATTTAAAGAGCTCATATTACTAGCAAGGTAAATACATTAAAATAATAATTGATCTTCTGGGTGTGGCTACATACACCTGTAAATCCCAGCACTTAGGAGGATTATGGGTTTGAGATCAACTTGGGCTACATTCAAAAAACCCAACAACACATGAACATAGATATGGAGGGACAAAGAGTGGACAAATTCAGCAATGGCACTCACTGGACACCATGTTGAAGATGAACATACAACTGGAGGGGGGTGTTAGGAGGGGAAAACTGGTAGAGAGCCAGGGGAAGGGAGACTTTGTCCAAAATGAAATATACTCTTTACCTGACTTATGTAACTGTAACCCCTCTGAACATCACCCTTATGATAGCAATAGCAACTTAAATAAAAAATTAAAAAAACTTGTATGTCAAATATGTCTGTGAAATGTTGCACTTAACCATTAGCTAGAATGTTGAGCAAGAATGTTTTATTTCTTGTTTATCCTTAATTGAATAGATCTGTCTTTATTCATTCTCAGCTCTGCACATGTTTGCTCATAGGTAACTGGTTGTTACAATTTAAGATAAAGAAAAGAAGACCACATTAAAATGACTCTTACTGTTTTCTCCTGCTTGGTTTGGAAAAAACATGGTTTATAATATGAAGAACTTGAAACTTTGTTGGTTTAAATGAAGTCTTTGGCTTATTCATTTAACATTTCTCTTTTCAATAGGAACTGTAAAGACTACTAAATTACTAAACTGTAAAAACTACTAAACAACTACTAAACTGTAAAAACTACTAAACTACCAAATATTTTAAAAATATCATTTTCCCTCAAGAATAGTGATTTCTCTCTCTGTCTTTGTCTCTGTCTCTGTCTCTCTCTCTCGCTCTCTCGCTCTCTCTCTCTGTGTGTGTGATGGTACTGTGGCTTAAGACTCACATGCTGGCTGACTTTCCTACTCACAGCTGGCGCTCTACTATGTAAGCCACACCTTTAGTTCTGGCTTTTTGCTGGCTAAAAGTCTCTAGGATTTGTCTGCCTGACTGGCTTCAAGCCATGATATTCAGATCTTAGCCTCCTCAGTTGTTAGGATTGCAGGGATGAACTACCAGCACCTGGCTCTGTACTATTTTTGGCTGAGATTTTTAAACCATAAGTTAAAGTATCTAGAGCATCCTCGTAATCACTGTAAATTGCTAAGTGCTGTTACTGTTCGTGGTGGGTGGTGTGTGAATGCGCATGAGATAGAGATCTGACCAACAGTAAATAATCCTGGCTAATTTTATTATTCCATTTGAAATTATTTATAGATAGTTAACCAATCCTAACCAATCCCTGGTACCTATTCCACTTAGTTTTATTTAATCTTGAGACCTGCCAAATAAGCAAATTTCTCAACTGTAACTTCTCCTCTCCTCTAAACTTCTACCTGTGGATATTCTTCCCAAATGCCAGAGTCACCCCCCTAATCCATGTCTCATCTTCCCACCTTCCATGTTTGAACTCCCAGTAGCTCTTATTTCCTCATAATTGCATAAATCCCCCCTGAACTAAGCTCTGGCTCATCTACTGCACTCAGTTCTGTCAACTCTGTCTTTGACTGGCATTTCTAAAATAAAAACAATGATGACACTAACCCCAACTGCCATCAACTGGAAAAAAGCTCCATGTCCAGAGGAGCTGATTGTTTCAAAGTCACATGGAGACTTTTAAGAAAAGACTTCCCTTGCTCCTTCTAAGAGAACAGAAAATCACCTTTAAGTGACCCAGGAGGGCAGAAGAGGCAGATGGCAAAGCCAAAGTATTGCTATTCCTAAATATGCAATGATCAAGTTCTCTGGCATATGAAAGCAAAGAAAAAGACATTTCCTCTAGTTGCTTGTAAGTCTGAGTTTCTAGGGAGAATTATGCCATGCAATAGAGAAACCAGGACTTTCTGTACCCTGTTATATTTCTCAATGAAAGACAATCTGGGCTGTACCGGCTTTCCAAAAATACCACATGTGCTGGCATACAGAGATTCCTTCAAATGAAATTTGAGTCACAATTTTTTTTCTATAAAACTTCTTTTATAACTACCATGAGAAGTGTGAAATTTGATCCAAACTTACTATTTAATAATGATTGAAAGAGTATGAAAAAATCACAACTTTGACACAAGAAAATATCTAAAAAATCTTCAAAGCTTTCCTTTTCCTAATGATTACATATATAAGCATTAACTTCTATTTTTTAAAGTATTAGGTGAGCAATATATGTACCCTGGTAGTTCTATGTTTTGAAAGGAGAAAATTCTGGCTCTGTTTCTGAAACTCATAAATTTTCTTATTTATTTATTGCACGTGATCGAATGCTGTTATAAACACAGTTAACATCCAGACATTTAAAATAAACAGTGACATTTTCATAGAACTTTATAGCCAGTATAAAAGGGTGCTAGTGGCTGACACCAATAATACAATCTAAAGGAGCGCATGAAACCCTTGGTTCAAGGTTTAGTACCAGTATGTGCACAAATGTATACATGTATACACACACACACACACACACACACACACACACACACACACACACACACAGAGTTAAAAAGCCCCAGATGTTTCAGATATTTTATCATGTGTAGAATTTACTCTTTCCACTTAATGACTTAAAAATAAAGAGTTGTAACTAATAGTTATTGGTGAGTGTAATCCTAGATATGACAGCAGTGTCTCACAATTACTTTTCTTTCTCTCTGTGTGTGTGTGTGTGTGTGTGTGTGTGTGTGTGTGTGTGTCAGTATGTGGGTTTGAACTCAGGGAGCTTGGACGCTGTCCCTTAGTTCTTTTTCTTTCTTATTTTGTTCAAGGATAGTGCTCAGTAGAGCACACACCCTACTTCTGGCTTTTTGCTGATTAATTGGAAATAAAGGTCTCATGGACTCCCCCCCCCCAAAAAAAATAAAAGCTGTCTTCAAGTGATGATCCTCAGATCTCAGCTTCCTATATAGCTAAGATTACAGGTGTGAGCTTTGACCTTTTACCATTAAAGTGGTAAAGGCATACAATTGTAGTTAATGCTTATGTTTTCTTTCTCAAAACCAAAAGGCAATGTCAAAAACACCAATTTTAAAGCAATATGAATACTGTGAAAATAGCAAGCCTTTAGCAAGAAGAAAGTCCATCTTCAATGACTTTGACATACACCAACATAGTGTGACTGGGACATAGAACAGTCTTGGAAGTCATGTTAAAAATGTGGGTGCTGGAATCCGAATTCTAATTTTCTCTATCTCAGAGATCCTGGGCAATTAACTTCTGCGATTGTGAGTTCTCTCTATGGTCAGAACCATGCTGAAGTGAGTGCCTTTAGGACAACTGAATAAAACATTTGCACAATTCCTAGCAGGACAGGCATTCAGTAAATATTCATAATGTAATCTCTTAATCCTGATTCTTAACCTAAGCATTAGCAAAAATAATACCAATTTTCTGAGGCCAGACAGAATGTGAAATGGATTTCTAGTACCATCAAATAGAAAAGATTTTGTTTAGAAGGACTTTGGTAACAGTTACTATTAAATATATGTTGCATTGAACTAATTTTTTTCAGAAACTAAAAGTTTTTACATAAATGACATTTGGATCCATCTGGATTGGACTTTGGTTGAAAAATTCCAAAACCAATTTTATTATCCTGGGATCTTAAAAAGGCTACAAACATGAATAAAAAAGAATTTAATTCTTGAGATTATTGGGGATGGGATGAGCTATAAACAGCTTCCAAATCAGTTGATTAGATCACAGATACATGCACAAATAAAATATTTAATGGCTCTGGGTTTGTAATTGACCTTCCATTGAGAGGAACCTATGCTCCTTTTATGTGGATGGCTCTGGATTGTGTGCCTTTTGCTCTTGGATTCAATACCATCTTGTGATTTTTTTTTTAGTTCCTTCCATATACTGGCTAGCACTGGTCCAAGTTAGAACTGGATAATGTCTGGCTTATATACTTAGAATTGTGAGTTTCAACATGGAGAGTTATTCAGGGTAAATCAATTCCAGGAGACTTCCTTAACTGCTTTGTCTGTAGTTCTGTAAAGTTGTGATTGTTATTTTCAACTCCAGAGAAGAGGTACAGTCTACTGCATTCTGAAGGTGTTTGGAGTATGACTCTTTCATCTGAAAGATGCCAGAGTAACTTCAAACTATGGATTTCTGAGTGGTCTTCTTAGGTACTGTGTGTAGTGGTTGAGATTGGAACAGAGAATTTTATTTTTGGGGAATTCTCCTGAGCACTCTTTCTTCTGACCAAAGGAGAGGGGTTGCAGTACTGCCTAACTCATTTCACATGCTATAAACACACCATTCTTTTCTGTCAATCTGATCTCAGACGCAGCATTTGTTCATCAATTTTTTCAGACATGTATCTCTGCTTACTATGTGAAGAGCATTGTCTTAGGTGCTGGGGATGGAAAGATACTCCAAAGAGCACAAACTCTGCTCTAATCTACCTTACCATCTAATATACCATCTAAGAGGAGAGACACAAAGAGAGAAACACCAGAGAAAAATGAAGAAGTGTAGAAGGAGAAAGGGCAGCCGATGGTATGGAGAAAAACACAATGAGAGAGAAAAAGAATAGAAGGGGAGGGCTGGGAAGGTGGCTCAGTGGTAGAGCACTTGCCTTGCATGCTCAAGACCCTGGGTTCAATTCCTCAGCACCACATAAGAAAAAAGCCGGAAGTGGCGCTGTGGCTCAAGTGGTAGAGTGCTAGCCTTGAGCTGAAGAGCTGAGGGACAGCGCCCAGGCCCAGAGTTCAGGCCCCACGACCGGACCCAAAAAAAAAAAAAAAAGAATAGAA